AAAGAGAGAGGGGCAATACTATATGCGGGCTGGGTGACCTTGGCAAATCTTCTAGGAACTTTTCAAGCTCTCAGTTTCCTTATCTGTAAGATGGGCGTGATAATGGTATAGGGTTGCTTTAAAGATTAAATCAGATAATAGATATGGAAAGCACTCAGAATAACCCCTGGTGCAGAGCAGGTCCTCAAACCTGGATACCTGTCATTATCATCATTCAAGTGTTGCTGCCTGGTACACAGGATTGGCTCCCAAGAGCTGAGCTGGTGTTTGTTTTACAAGCATTATCTTACAGCTCCAAGTTGATACTATCATTGTTTCTAATTTAGAGGAGGGATATATTGAGGTTCAGAGGGAGAAGTGATTTGCCCAAGGCCCCATTTACAAAATAGGAGGGGGTAGGCCAGGCGCGGTGGCTCATACTTGTAATCCCAGCACTTTGGGAGGCCGAGGCGGGCGGATCATGAGGTCAGGAGTTTGAGACCAGCCTGACCAACATGGTGAAACCCCGTCTCTACTAAAAATACAAAAATTAGCTGGGTGTAGTGGTGCGCACCTGTAATCGCAGCTACTCAGGAGGCTGAGGCAAGAGAATCGCTTGAACCCGGGAGGCGGAGGTTGCAGTGAGCCGAGATCATGCCACTGCACTCCAGCCTGGGCAGCAGAGCGAGACTCCATCTCAGAAAAAAAAAGGAAGAAGAAAAAGAAAATAGCAGCAAAGCAGCACTGGATCCTAACAGCCACAGATTTGATTCTGCAGTGAAGGTGGAGGGAGCTGCTTGCACTAAACCGCTGGGGTTTCTGGGGAAACATCGCCCCCTTTTGGTTCTGCATCAGAGCTGCTCTCCAGTGAAGGGCACTGAGATTGAGGGAGAGACACAGAGGAGAGAATGTGTCTGCAGCAGGGGCTAAGGGTCAAGAGGGCTTCCCTTAGTCCTGGACTTGCTCCTCAGTTTTCAAGCTGCTTCTCTGTATGTTACCTCATTTGATTGTCCCAACCACTTGGAAGGAGATAGAATTAGGAGATCTCTGGGGCAGATGGGGCCCAGAGATAGAGTCAAAGGGCAAGAAAACATAAACCAAAAAGAAACAGAAAGAGTTAAAATATGCAGAAAGGGAGCGAGTGTCAGAGAAAGAAGCAGGAGAAAGATGCAGTGGGGAGTAGAGGAGGAAGACAGAGACAGAGAGAGAGAGAGAGAGAGAGAGAGAGAGAGAGAGAGAGACTGACTAAGATCAGAGAAAGTCAGGGAGACACTGATAGCAACCAACCCGGGCTCAGGCCCCGAGGCAGAGAGCCATGGGCCGCGGCTGCACACATACCCACCTGGGGCAGGGTGTAGCCTCGGAAGCAGGTGGTCCTCATGAGGGTGCGGGGGATTCCCATGGGCACCAGCGCCAGCAGCCGCTGCGCTTCATGCAGAACCGCGTCGGTGTAAGGGAGGCGGGTACGGTCCCCTAGGCTTGGTGCCTGGCCAGACCCCAGCTCCCGAGTCAGCTCCTCACGTACCCGCTCTGCAAGCAAGAGGAGGGCGGGAGTCAGACAGCAGGTAGGGCCCAGGGATCCTCCTCTCAGAAGCCCATCTGCTTGCATAGCTATAGTTTGGGGTGAGGCTGACAGGTGGGGAGGAGTAGTCCCCCAGCCCTCACTGAGCCCAAAGACCACACATCTTGTGTGTTGGGTGTTCCATCTATCTACTCTCTCTCTCTTATTTTATTTTATTTATTTATTTTTTGAGACCGAGTTTTGCTCTGTTGCCTAGGCTAGAATGCAATGGCGCGATCTCGGCTCACCACCTCTGCCTCCCGGATTCAAGTGATTCTCCTGCCTCAGCCTCCTGAGTAGCTGGGATTACACACTCTGTCACCCAGTCTGGAGTGCAGTGGCGCGATCTCGGCTCCCTGCAACTCCGCCTCCTGGGTTCAAGAGATTCTCCTACCTCAGCCTCCCGAGTAGCTGGGACTACAGACGCCTGCCATCATGCCTGGTTCATTTTTGTATTTTTAGTAGAGACAAGGTTTTGCCATGTTGGCCAGGCTGGTCTCAAATCCCTGACCTCAGGTGATCCGTCCGCTTTGGCCTCCCAAAGTGCCGGGATTACAGACGTGAGCCACCATACCCAGCCTTCTCTTTTTTTTTTTGAGACAGGGTCTTACTCTGTTGCCCAGGCTGGTGCAGCAGTGCAATGATGGCTCACTGTAATAGCCTTCACCTCACCTAATGGGCTCAAGTGATCCTTTCACTTCAGTCTCCTGAGTAGCTATGACCACAGGCACGCACCACCACGCCCACCTAATTTTTCTATTTTTGGTAGAGACAGGGCCTCACTATGTTGCCCAGGCTGATCTTGAACTCCTAGCCTCAAGTGATCCTCCCACCTCAGCCTCCCAAAGTGCTGGGATTACAGGCATAAGCCACCATGCCTGGCTCATCTATACTTTCTTAATTCCCATAGCACCCTTGTGAGATAGGTATTGTTATCTATCCCCATTTCCTAGATGAGGAAACTGAGACTCAGAGAACCCAAGTCATTGCCAGAAGTCACAGCTGGTTCCACTCCTGCAACACTACCAGGACCTCAACTCCCATATTCCAGGTCAGAGCCCATCCCCATGACCCACAGCAGCTGCCTAACCCTAAAATGCTGGAGTTGGGCCGGGCGCCTTGGCTCACGCCTGTAATCCCAGAACTTTGGGAGGCCGAGATGGGCAGATCACTTGAGGTCAGGAGTTCGGGACCGGCCTGGCCAACATGGGGATACCCTGTCTCTCCTAAACGTACAAAAGTTAGCTGGGTGTGGTGGTGCACGCTTGTAATCCTAGCTACTCGGCAGGCTAAGGCAGGAGAATTGCTTGAACCCGGGAGGCTGGAGGTTGCAGTGAGCCGAGATCACGCTACTGCATTCCAGCCTGGGCGACACAGGGAGACTCTATCCCCTATAAAAAAATAAAAAATAAAAACGAAAAACCAATTTGACCCTGCCCTTCCCTGCTCAAAGTCATTCCATTGCTCCCCATGGCTCAGCATAAGGCACCTAATGTATCACTAAGGCGGCGAGGCCCGCAGACACCTGCCTTGTCTTTCACTATGCCTCATACTGCAGTCAGCAACTCCTGAACCTCTTCTGGCTCCCGGACATCCCAAACGCCGTGCCCATTGATGCCTCAAAGATCTAGCTCAGCCTGTCTGCTCGGCCTGCCCACTCTTCCCTCTAAAACTCTCACTTTTTGTTTTTTGAGACAGTGTCTCCCTCTGTCACCCAGGCTGGAGTGCAGTGGTGTGATGTCAGTTCACTACAACTTCTACCTCCTGGGCTCAAGCAATTCTCATTCCTCAGCCGCCCGAGTAGCTGGGATTACAGGTGCATGCCACCACCTGTATTTTTAGTAGAGGTGGAGTTTCACTATGTTACCCAGGCTGCTCTTAAATTCCTGTTCTCAAGTGATCAGCCCGCCTCAGCCTCCCAAAGCTCTGGGATTATAGGCGTGAGCCACCTTGCTCAGCCAAGAACCCTCACTTCTGTTCCCAAGGTGGAAAAGGCTCTTACTTTGGACATGAGGGTATTTCATCAGGAGCAGGAGGGTATAGCCAACCGTGGCGCTGACCGTCATCGTCCCAGCGAACAGCAAATAAATGACTGTCATCAGCATGTTCTTGTTGGTGAATTCTGTGTCTGGGTTTTGTTCCTCCTGAAAGAAACCAGGCAGAGGGGCTGAGAGAACACAGCTTTTGGGAAGTAAATGTCCAGAACAGCCCAGCCTGGGGTCAGCACTACGAGTTTTGTCACGGGGTTTAGATAAATTTTGGGGAAGGTTGGGAAGTCGACTCTTTTTTTTTTTGAGACAGCGTCTTGCTTTTAAAAAGCCCAGGCTGAGTGCAGTGGCACGATCCTGGCTCACTGCAACCTCTGCCTCCTAGGTTCAAGCAATTCTCCCACCTCAGCCTCCCGAGTAGCTGGGATTACAGGTGCGTGCCATCACGCCCGGCTAATTTTTGTAT